TTATCCTCACCCCACAGAATTTTTCCTGTTGATTCCACACAAACTTTTTTTAATGCACTATTAATTCAACCATTTTAAATAATTTGCCTATATTAAGGAAGATTTTTAATACATCGAATGATACTAAAGGTTTCCAAAATCAAGGAAAACAGTCTCTGGTGTAAGTTCAGTAATGAAGAACAGACCTACATGCCTTATGGAGAGAAATGAAGAGGAAAGGTATGCTGCAATTTTTGTTACGGTGGCAGAAGCAGTACAGGTGAGCAACTGCAAAGGGCATCTAAATAATTTTGAATGTAAACATGAAACTCTCCCTTCAGAAATCTCATTTCTGGAATTCAGCCATAACACTATATCACAGGAAAAGGTCATAGCAGCTAAATGAAATACAAATCCTAAGAGGCTTTTTACTCACTAAACAAAATATCTACTCCTAAGAAATTCCAATTTCCATTATTTTTAACAAATAGGTCATGAACTGAATATTCCGAGCATTGAAGAAAGACACAGGAAATCTTAGGATTTTGCCAGACCGATTAGTGAAAACATTTACAAGAAACTGTGAGCTCACAGACAGCAGGGAGAACTCAGAGCAACTTGATTGACACAGCAGACACCAGCCCAGAGGAGATCAGTCCTTCTCCAGTCTGGAACTGGAACTGCACGCTCTGACATTAAACCTGAATTTGCCTTTTGAAATCCCCATCCACCTGCTAACACTCAAGGTGTAACCACTTCCAGTGAGGACGCCAAAAGACTCTTTGATTAAGGTTAAGCACTTGTAGCCAGTCCACCACCTGGAGGACAGAGAGAAAAGGTACCTGTTTTGAAAGAACACTGCTTCCCTGGCTGGTGTTACTATTAACTTTGATGCTTTACTTTCCAGAGCCAGCAGCCTCCTCATGACACACCATGCCTGAGGAGAGGCCCTCAGCCGAGGGTAAATCCCTGTCAGGGTCAGCCCAGGGAGACCCTCCCAGCTGAAGGGCAGTCTGGCATACTGCAGCCAAATCAGGCTTAAACAGGGGACTCTGACATGCAGACCATGCTGGGCTTTGAGTTTTTCAGTTGTTAGCTTATTTGGGGTTAGAGGGAGGAGGAGAGGCATGTTCAGCTTTCTTTTCCCCCTGCTGTCACCTCATCTCTTCCCTCCCCAGGTCTGGAGTTGGCACAGAAAGCCTCGGGACAGCAGACTGACCTTTTGGTTCTACAGCCTCTTGAGATCAACAAAGGAGCATGGTTGTAGTTAGGGACCAAAGTGACTACCGTCAAAAACTAGGTCAGGCTCGATAGGATTTTGTTCACACAACACAAGGTAGAACACCAAAGAAGGGTGATTTGTTTAATCTGCTTTCTATGTGCTTTTCTCTTTCAGTAGCAAGTACTTTGCCACAGCCTAGTGCCA